TCGATGACGCGCACATGGAAGTCGGGTTTAATATTTGATTCCAAACAGGCGCACGAGCTCCTCGAGGGCGGGCCGCCCGACGCGTGGGAGAGCCAGGCGCCGATCCCGGAGGGAGGCGCGGCGGACGGGGACGCGACCGGGTTTACCGTGTCGTGTTCGGTCCAATGCGACGGCGCGGCGTGCGTCGCGCCCGTGGACGCGGGCGCCGCGTGCCTGAGCTCCACGCTGGACGACGCGTTCGCCGTGCCGTCGAGGACCGCGGCGTGCCTCTTCGGCCTGGACCGGCTTGAGGACGAGGTCCCGCGCGCGAGGGTGGCCGAGGCGCGGCCCGCGGCGGCCAAGGAGGCCGCGCCCGTCGACGACGGCGACCTCGTCGTGCCCGAGATGGGCGAGTGGGTCGAGTCCCTCGTCGGCGACCTCGACGCCCGCCTCGAGCCCACCGACGTCGAGCCGCTTGCCTCGGGGCCCGGGCGAGGCGCGACGGCGTCGCCGCATTTGTCGCTCGCGTCGCTCGCGTCGCGCGGCATCTCGAGGGCGAAATTCGCCGCGCGGCGGGCCACGAGCCGCCGCACGCTCTGCAGCGACAGCTCCAAGACGACGGTGCGCGACTGCGCGGAGATGCTCGCGCCCACGCTCGCGCGCGCGGTCGTCGCGAGGAGCCGCGAGCTGCGGCGCGCGGCGGCCGCGGCGACGTCGAGGACGACCGCGCGGCGCCTCGGCGAGCTCGACGCCCACCTCCTCGAGCGCTGGGGCTTCAACGGGTCGCGCCAGGTCTTCATCGCCAACGTCGAGCGCGTCGTCGTGAAGCGGCTCGGCCGCGCGGCGCGCTGGCACGCGGAGCTCGAGGCGGCGGACGACGCGCGCGCCAAAGAGCGCGCGGCCGTCGCCTACCTCCGGGCGGAGATGCTCTCGAAGAAGGAGCGGACGGTCATGACGACCATCGCGGAGCGGCTCCAGGGCGAGCTCGAGGCGCCCGAGGAGCCGCCGGGGGCCGCGCCGTACATCGCCGCGTGGGCCGGCGTGCTCTGCGTCGTCCTCTACTGCTTCTACTACCTCCTCACGACGGGATCCCAATTCGGGCGGAAGAAGACGCGGCTCTGGCTCGAGGCCGTGACGTTTTCCCTCGTGCTCTACTTCGTCTTCATCAAGCCCATCGTCATCCTCCTCATCAGCGTCATCATGCCCAGCTTCGTGGCCTCCTCCGTCGACAAGGCCAGGAGCCCCCTCGACCACCCGCGCTACCCCTTCGAGACGCCGCTCCCCGAGAGCTCCGTCTTCTACCTCCTCCGCTGGCACCCCGAGCTCAACGGCACGCGCCTCGCGGACCACGTCGCGGCCGAGGCGACCGGCGCGCCGCGGAGCGCGCGCGAGTGCCTCACGGACGTGCGCGTCGCCGAGATCCACGGCGCGGCGATCCCCCGGACGAGCGGCACGGCCGTCGTCCTCGCCCTCATCGCGCTCCTCTTCGGGCTCCACGAGGACATCCAGGACACGCTCATCGAGGAGGTCTTCACGTTCCTGCCGCTCGCCTCGGGCTTCGTCGCGGAGCGCACGCCCGGGCTCGAATCCGCCGGGGAGGACGTCGGCGCAGCCTTCGGTATGGTCGTCGTCGGCGCGCTCGTGTACGTCGCCTGGAAGGCGTACCACGCGTGCGGGAAGGCGACGGCGCGGGCCGCGGTGGCGCTCCCGCGCCGGAAAAGCGACGCGGGCGGGCCCGCCTTCCGATGGCCCGAGGACGAGGCGCCGGAAACCCCGAGGCCGGACGTCGCCGGCGAGGACGAGAAGTCGCCGGAGGACGCCGTCGCCCTCGTCCTCTTCGACGGCGGCGGCGACGGCGACCGCGTCGAGGCCGCGCGCCCGGACGACGACGAAGCGGCGGCGGAGCGACCGGACGACGCGGCCTCCGACGGGGAGTTCCTCGACGACGAAGAGATCCTCCTCGACGTCGACGTCCGGCGGGCGGACGCGGACGCGCGCGGGGCCGAGGAGGCGGCGCGCGACGACGAGGCCGGCGCCGCGGACGCCGAGGAGCGCGGGGCCGCGGGGGCGGCGCAGGACGACCGCGAGGCGGGGGACGCGGCGGCGGGGCGACGGGAGGACGCGGCCTCCGACCGCGAGTCCCTCGACGACGAGGACATCCTCCTCGACGTCGACGCCCGACGCGCGGATGGGACCGGTGCCGCGGACGCGGAGGCGCGCGGGGCCGAGGACGCGGCCGTCGAGAGCGCGGGCGACGCCATCGAGAACGCCTTCGAGGAGCCGCCGCCGCCGCAGCCTGAGACGCTCTCGGACTACGTCTTCAGCGTGCAGGCGAAGCCGGAGGACGCGCCCGCGCCGTCCTACTCGGACGCCGCGTACGCCGCGGTCTTCGGTGCGGCCACCGCGGCGCGGGACGACCACGACGCGGGGGACGCGGTGGCCGCCCGGCCCGGCGAGGCGCGCTCGCGCGCGCGCGGCCGGAGCGCGACCCAGGGCGAGGGCCGGAGCCGGAGTGGGAGCCGGTCGAAGAGCCGGAGTCGGAGCAGGAGCCGGAGGCCCGGCCGCCGCGCGATGCACCGCGCCCCGTACGTCGTCAAGGCCAAGGGCGCCGTCGTACGCGCCGGCGTCGCGCTCGACAGCGACAAAGTCGTGAGGCTCCCCGCCGGCACCGCCGTCGTCGTCGAGGTCGCCGAGCAGCTCCCCGACAAGAAGACGCGGTACCTCCTCGTCGAGCCCGTCGTCGGCTGGGTGTCGCGCGGGGCGGTGGCCAAGGCCGGCTGATTCTGCGTTCTTTTTCTCCCGTATTCGCCCGTCCGCTTGCGTCTTCATACTACTTGCAGAGCGACGACGTCGGGCCCGGTCCGGCGCCGCCGCACAACGACGAGCCCGCCCCCTGAGCCGCGGCGCTCGTCGTTCCGATGATTTTTGTTTCGATCCCTCGTTCCGATCCCGCCCCCCCTCGCCCGCCCCCCCTCGTTCCGATCCCGCCCCCCCTCGAGGATCACCTCGCTCGCGCTCCGCTCGACGTCGTTCGCTCCGCTCGACGTCGTCCGCGCTGCGATGCTATCTAACGAGAATCTTACTTGTAGTAACGGGCATATCGTCCCCGTACGGCGTACCCCCTTTTGAAGCGGTGGTGTTGAGGTCCCTGTTGAAGTACAAGGTTTGAGGTTGAAGCCCAAGTTGAAGTAGCGTTCAACATATCCCGCCGGCGGGATATGCTAAGCCGCCCGGGCCGGCTCATTCCATTAAAACCTGGATAAGTCGCCCGGGTCGGCTCATTCCATTAAAACCTGGATATCCGGGCCTCGCGCTCCGCGAGCGCGAGCACCGCGTCCGCGTCCCTCCAGTGAGGCGCGGGGACTCCGTGGAGGAAATTCTGGTAGAGCACGACGCCCGCGCTCATGAAGGCGGGCACGTACGAAAAGCTGCTCTTCGCCGTGACCAGAACATCGGCCGAGACCATGTCCGCGATCGCCTGGAGCGGGTCGCCGTCGAGGTGCATCGTGGCCAGCTCCGGGAGCCGGCCGAAATCTTCGGGACGGCCCTCCGAGTAGACGTGGAACTCGAGGCGCAAGCCCCGGAAATACGTCGGGAGCGCGCGCGCCATTCGCTCGTACCACGCGTTGTCGGTGTACGGGGAATTGGCCCGGCCCCTCGTGAGGCTCACGTCCCCTCGGCGGACGTGCATCGCGACGACGACGCGGTCCGAGGGCGCGATGGCGGAGGGCGGCAGCGCGAACGACGAGTTCTGCGCCGCGGCGTACCGCGCGCGGACGGCGGCGCGCGGCGCGAGGGTCGTCGAGTTGTGGATCCAGACTCGGGAAGATGTCACCGCGCTATAGACGCAGCCCGCGTCGCCGAGGCTTCTCGCCGCGGCCCAGCGGAGGCCTTCGCGCAGGCCCGCCTCGCTTTTGGGGAGCTGGACGCAGTTCGCAAAGTCGGGCGGGAGGGGTACGATGCCCGGCAAGCCGAGGCCCTTCAGAAGCGCTTGGCAGCTATACCTGCGCGGGGAGATTGCGCGAGCGCCGGCCGGCGCGACGCTCGTCGACTCGGCGCTCGCTCGCCCGTGAGGTTTATGTTCTTTCGTCGAGTTCAGAAGCAGGCCGCCCGCCTCGAGGCCAAATTCTTCCGCCGTGAACAAGAGGTACCTGATGAAGGGCGTCGAGACGTGCGACGAGCCGTTACGCTGACGGGCGCGTGGCCTGAATACCAAGCATACCACACCCGTCTTGGCGGGCGTGAGCGTAAACCACGTTGCGCGAGGCGACCGGATGCGGAGCCGAGACGGCGAGGACGGCTAGCAGTTTGGCTGGCGTCATAGTAGGACAGCCTCGCGAGGCCTTGCAGACCGAGCTCTAGGCGCCGACGAGCAGCGCTGCGGTTGCTGCGGCCACTCGGGCCGGCGCAAGGCGCGGGTGATCGAATCCAAACGCCCGCTGGCGCACAGCCGGGCCGATGGGCCGCGACTCGGGGCTGCCCATCTCAGCTGATCAGCTCTCCCTGGTCCGTAAAGTGCAGGGCAGCTTGAAGTGCACCGTGACAGATTTCCGTCGGGGCGATGTAGTGGGGAGCCCTAAACTTGGCGCCGCAGCGCCGCGCCGAGAGCTCATCGGAGCGCGGCCTGCGTCGCGCCGCGCACCGAACGCGCGCGTCCCGAGGCGAGGCGTTAAAAAGCGGCGGCTCAGGGCGCGGTGTGCCGGCGGTTGAGCTGGAACTGGAGGACGACGGAGTCGGAGGAGAGGCGGACGTCGAAGGAGAGGGGCTCGCCCGCGGCGACGACGAAGGGCGTCGGCGGCCGCGTGAGCGCGTTGGCCGGGTCCAGCGCGTCGTCGCGGTTCGCGGCGTCGAGGTCCTCGAGGAGCTGGATGCCCTGGCCCCACTGCATGTCGCGCGCGAAGTTGTCGACGGTCTCGCGGGGGTCCGTGGACATGGTCAGCGGGCCGCCGTCGAGCTCCCAGGGCGCCGCGCCCGGCCCGCCGACCGTCGCGTCCCAGAACAGCACGACGCAGTGCGCGACGCCCGCTTTGGCCGCGGCGAAGTCGACGGTCGTCTCCGACGGCACGAAGCCCGGCGCGTCCCTCGTGAAGTCGCAGGCGAAGACGGTCACGGGCGGCGCGAGGAACGTCGACGGCACGGAGCAGAAGCGGAAGCCGTACTGCTTCGCGAAGACCAGCGACGCCGTGTCCTGGAGCACGTTGACGTGGCTCAGGTCCAGGCCGCCCCAGTCGTCGGCCTTGGTCAGCTTGGCGACGGCGTCGCACTCGACGAGCGCCGCGTACTGGACGCCCCGCGGCGGCACGACGCGGCAGCCGGGCCGCACGAGGCGCTCGCGCGCGTCGCGGAGGTACTCGAGCGCCGACTCGCCCAAAAGCAGCGTGCCGAAGAGCTCGCTCACGAGCACGTCGGGCAGGTCCGCGGCGTAGGGCTTCACGTCGCCGCCGCCGTCCTCCGTGCCGTTGACCTCGACGACGCGGCCCGCGCCGAGGCCGCACGCGCGGCGGATCTCGTCGGCGTCCAACTCCGTCGACAGCCGCTCGATGACGGTGATCGCGCCGTCGAGGCCGTTGGCCGCGATGTTCTTGCGCGCGAGCGCGGCCATGTGGCGGCTCGCCTCGATGGCCACGACCTTGCGCGCACCGAGCCGCGCGGCGAGCATCGCGAGGAGGCCGCTGCCCGTGCCGATCTCGAGGACGACGCTCTCGCCGGGCACGATCGCGCGCCGCAGGCACTCGCGGTAGAACTCGTTGCGCGGGTGGTCGTTGATCATCGCGTAGTGGAAGTCGTTGACGGCCTCGACGAGGTCCGCGCTCTTGTCCTGGAGCCGCGCGGGCACGCAGAAGTGGCCCTCGAAGTCCTCGCCGAAGCAGTGGGCCGCGCGCGCGCCGGGCGGCACGTACATGTGCGGCGTCGTCGTGCCGCCGCTCGGGCCGCTGCCCTCCGTGTCGTCCGTCTCCGCGTCGTCGTTGCCGTCGACGAGCTGGGACATCGCGCTTCGGCCACCGTGCTCGGCTGATCGCCCGTCTCGGCCGCCTCGAGCAATAATAAAACGTCAACTCGCGGTGGTCTTGCCGCTCGAAGCAATGTTGAATGGGCGCTGGCCGAGCATGGCTGCCCATCACTGACGTCGCTCCGCTTCGCACGTCGCTGGTGATCGTTCGACTCGTGCAGCACCGAGCGCAGCTGCGATACGCGCCGCGGTCGGCGCGCTCCGCGAAGCGCTCCGCGAGGCGCTCGTGCCCCTGGTGCATCGACTCGAGCACCTCGGTCGGTCGCGTCGAGGCCCACGGCTTTCCGGAGCGTCGCGCGGCGCTCGGGTTGGAGCACGGCCGGCGCCTTGGCCGCCTCGTCGTCGAGGCCGAGCTCCGGCTCCTCTTCGCCGAGCGCTTCGCGGAACGCGAGCACGTGCGCCGCTATGGGTGGTTCGCGCGTCACAGCGGAGGACTTCGACCGCGTGCCGTGCCTCGATGGCGCGCGCGCGCTAAAGCGCGACCTTCTGGCGATACACAAGATGAAGGAGACGGACCCCTCTAAAATCAAGGAGCAAATGAAGCTGTATCACGTGCGGGCGAATGCGAAGTTGGAAGATGACGAGCTGAGGAAAGTTACCGAGAAGGTGCGCAGGCGCCTCTACACCGTTTTGAGCGCGGTCACCATCGAGCACGAGAAGCGCGAAGCGCGAGAAGCTGTGGAGGAGCGCCGCGCGCTGCTCGAACGCCACATCGAGAGGAAAATCAAGATGCGCGACGCGTTCGCGCTGAAATTCTGGAGCGAGCCGAGCGAGAAGTCGACGAGATTTCTCGCGCGCCTGCGGGTTTTCAAGGTGATGCAAGCGGCGGTGGCGGCGCGAGCGGCGCAGCGAGCGGCCGCGGAGGCGACGCGACGCAAGCTTCAGTGGCGCCGGCTCCATAAAGAGCTCCCGATCGACGTCTTGTGGCGGGACGAAGACGGCTGGATCAGAAGGTGTGAGGCAGTAGTGGAAACGGTCACCGTGCGGTACACGCACGCGGGCAAGGTCTACACGCAGGCGGGCGTGGTCGCCGACGACTTGGGCCCCGGCGGCTTCTACTTCGGCGAGGACGACGGCGGCGGCGGCGACGGCCGCAGGGACGACGGCGGCGACGGCGACAGCTGCAAGGACGGCGCCGGGGCCATGGGCTTGGACGCGGGCGAGCTCTCCGTCGCCGTCATCTCCGACGACGACGTCTCCGACGACGACGACGGCTTCGACAGCGACGACGGCGACGACGGCGAGGACGAGCAGCGGCGGCCGCGCGCGCTCCCGCCGGAACGGCCGCGCGCGCTCCCGCCGGAGCCCAGCGGCTCGTCCGCCGCGGACGCGAAGAAGGCCGAGGTCGTGGCCCAGATGGACGCCGCGCTGGCGTCGACGGCGCGCGTCGAGCCCGGAGACCGCCCCGAATTTGGGCTGCCCATCAAGGCCGAGTGGCTCGAAAAGATCCTGCGCGGGGAGAAGACCGTCGAGCTCCGCGGCAAGGGCACGGCCAAGGTCGGCCAGCGGATTGGATTGATCTGCTCCAAGTCGTCAAAGCCCGCGTCTTCCGACCGTTCCGAGTTTCGAGATTTTTGGCCGGGGAAACGTCGAAATATCGTCATCGTCGCGCGGCAGGTCAATGGTCATGGGCGAGTGCTTGTTGGCCGAGGCCCGGGGCCCGCTGACCAACGTCGAGCTACTCGAGCTCCAGCCGCAGCACTGCGTCCACGCGCGCGACGACGGCGAGCCCGACACGGCCGACGAGCTCCGCGAAAGCGTCGAGTACAAAAAGGTCCACGCCTGTGTGGAAATCAAACCTTCAACCCGACTTCAATGTGCGCGTAATCGAACGATTTGGACCAGATTCTTTCGCTGTGCTTCGAGAACTCGACGAGAGCAATCGATTCGTCCAAAAATCAGCCGAATCGACTTCGATTTGACCGAGCTAGAGATTTCTGAAGTTTGGCCCCGACGTCCCAGCGCACTGGTTGATTTCCACACAGGTCCACGCCTGGGTCTTCGAGGACGTCATCGTCTACGAGACCTTCATCCCCTACGAGCACCCGCGCGGCGCCGTCGGCTGGATTGACCTCACGAAGGCCGTCGTGGAGCGCCCCCAAATGTGCACGGTCGAGAAATTAGAGAGCCTTATGAGAGAGACGGCCCAAGAACGGCTCCCTTCCCTTCGCGACCTCGAGGGTCCCGGCGGGGCGCCGTTTTTGGCGCTCCACTCCAGAAATGGTCCACACCGGCGCCAACTCGCGATTGCCGCTTCGCGCAGATTTGCATGCCGTGTAGGTCCGAGGTCCAAACAATTATTCGACACGACGTCGACGTTCGGCCCCGCGCCGCCCAGACGACGTCGAATTCACGGAGCTAGCGCACGCCACGCAGGTTTCTGCCGACGTTACGTCGGTCCTGTCTAAGCGCGTTGTCGACCGTCGAGAACCACGACGACATCGCCGCCATCAAGGCCTCCGGCTTTTCCTCGAAGAAGGCCGCGAACGGCAAGGTCAAAGTGCCGGACAAGTTCCAGTCGTCGGCGTCCCGGCTTTGTGGCATCTTTGAATTAAACGTGAAGCAGCGGAAGGCATTTCTGAACTTCGCCGAGGCGAGAGGAAACAAAACCAAGGTGAGCATCCCGATCCTTGCCCTGCCCCTGCGTTATCGATCGCGCGCAGGCCGGCCACATGCTCGCCGACGCGCTCATGCCCAGGGCCGCGCGCTGCATCACCGCGCGGCACGGCGTGTGGAAGGTCGCGCGTCGCGTCGAGACGAGAGGCGATCGCTCGTCGCAGAATCGACCAAAAACGCCTACGATTCGACCGCGCGGGGCCGAACGCCGAGGGCTTCATTTCGGTCCGACGCACGCACGCACGCAGGAGCAGATGATCAAGGCCGGCGCCGTGTCCCCGGGCACGGCGGTGCTCTCCGTCGGGGTCGGCGCCGGCTTCGGCACCCTCGGATGCCAGGCCGGAGGGCTCGGCTCCTCCGCGTCGCTGTCTACGGACAACGACGACGAGCGCCTCGAGCTCTGCAATGAGATGGGCGTGCTTGGGCGCAAGGTGGCCGCCGGCGTCCTGGCTGTGGCTACGTTCGAGAGTGTTCGACCGGGGCAACACGAAATCGTCGTCGGGGTGCTTCGTAGGTCGCCGCTGACCTCGAAGACGCGGCCGAGGCGTCCGGCATCGCCAGGAAGGCGCTCAAGAGCGGCTCTTCACTTTTTTTGAATGCCACCGGCCCGTGCCGCGGCCATTCTAGGTCATCCAAGATCAACGATACTCTACCGTTCGCCCTCCGGAGCCACGTCTGGCTCGTGGCGCACTTCCGCGCGGTACCCGAACTTCAGTCTCGGTCACATCGACGTCGTTTTACCCGACTTTTGGACGACTCGTGTTCTCTCGTCGAGCTTTCGAAGGATGGTCGAGATCTCGAACGATGGTCGAAAGAGTCGTGTCCCGAGCGCGCAAATATTCTCACCTTTAGTACGATTCCTACGCAGGCGCGTTTCATCTGGATCCTCCTCCACCATGACACCCACAAGCAGCTCGAGGCCGGCTTCGTGGAGAATGTCCCCGCGTTTTTTGGCACGCCCCCCTGCGACTTCATCATCAGCCAGCTCAAGAAGAAGGGCTACAACGTCCTCGTCCACGTCCGCGTGCCGATGACCCAGCTCAAAATCCCTTCCCTGAGAGAGAGGACGATTCTACGCTTCTGGCGCGCGGCCCCGGGCGAGACGCCCAAGGTGACCGTGCGCAAGCGCCTCGTCGTCTCCTGAGTAAGCCGGTCTAGTGCGGGCTCACTCTACTCGTACTCGAGCTTGGTGGAGCCGCCGGGCTGGTTGCCGTCGAGGATCGAGCAGGCGACCTGGTCGTCGATGGAAACGGGACCGAGCTCGTCGTGGCAGATGGAGTCGCACCAGGAGCGGAGGAAGCCGCTCGTGTTCGAGCTCGAGGCGGCCGCGTAGCCGCCGTAGGTCGACGAGTAGGTCGAGAGCGCGGACGGCGTCGTGAGCGCGAGGCGACGACACGTTGCAGCGGTACGGCGCGAGCGGCGCCTGCTCGGCCGTCGCCGCGAAGATGATCTCGGCGACGACGTACTCGTCGTGGTTGTCGCCGAAGGGCCGCGCGGAGCAGTTGCTCTTGTTGACGTAGATCGTCGGCGACGGCACGTCGACGAGGAACGTCTCGCGCTCGGGCGTCGGCGTCGGCGGCAGCTTCTCGAAGAGCGCGCTCACGGGCGCCTCCGCCTCCTTCGGCGCCTCCGCCGCGTCGTCGTCGTCGTCGCCGCCGCGCGCCCGCGACGCCAGGGCCGCGCCGAGCGCGGCGCCGCAGCAGCAGCACAGCGCGAGGCTCGCGAGGAACAGCACGAAGGGCAGCCAGTGCCAGTCGCCGCGCCGGACGTGTCGCCGGAAGCGGCGCCAGAAGCCCGCGCCGCCGGCGTCGCCGCGCGTCGGCGCGGGCGTCGGCGGGCGCCGCGCAGAGGTCGACGGCGCCCGCGCCGATCTCGACGTCGTCCGCGATGACGGAGCACGTCACGTACCAGCTGTGGTTCCGGACGAACGCGTAGGTGTCCGCGCCGATGTCCCCGGACGCGTCGAGGTCGGCGGCCGTCGCCTCGACGGCGACCTCGAAGTGGTCGTCCTCGGAGAGGACGAGGATGTCGCCCTCGAGCGCCGCGGAGAGCGCGGCCTCGTCGCCGTCGACGAGCGCGGACCGCACGGCGGCGTCGTCGCCGTTGTAGGACGCGTCGAGCGTGACCTGGTAGTAGAGGAACGTCGTCGCGGCGCCGTCGTCGAGGCGCCGCCGCCGCAGGTCCTCGCAGGCGACGTACGTGAGCGCGCGCTCGGGCACGCGCATCGCGTCCGCGAGGACCGCGTAGGCCTCCGGGTAGCGGCCGCGACGACGACCTCGAACGCGCGGCCGAGGCCCACGAGGTACGTCCGGTAGTCCTCGCCGTCGTCGACGACGCTCGCCGCGCCGTCGCGCTCGACGATCGGCACGACGTCGCCCAGGGACGAGGAGAAGAGGTCCGGCGACACGACGAAGGCCGCGTCGTCGACGAAGACGGGGTCGTCCGTGTGGACGTTTTCGACGAAGTAGAAGGACTTGTCGTTCTTGCCCGGCGACTTGGAGTAGTAGTAGGTCGTGCCGACGACGGCGGCGACATTCGGGTAGTCGTAGGCGAGCGCGCCGTCGAAGCAGAGGTCGCCGTCACGCCCGGGATGCGCTGGAGCCCCATGTCCGTGCGGTCGACGCGGATCTCGCCGATGGTGTCGAGCTTCTCGATGACGTACTCGACCTCGTCCGCGGCCTCCTGCCACTCCATCTCCTCCGTCTTGGCGCCGTTGAAGGCGACGGAGAACGTGCCGCTGAAGGGCGTCGAGCCCGTGCGCAGGACCTCGTTGACCACCGCGGGCGTCGTGCCCTGGAGGCTCGAGGTGTCGTAGGTGATGGAGTCGAGGTTGCCCGCGCCCGGCGGGTACGTGTAGCCGTCGTAGGAGCCCAGCAGGGCATGGTGGGCAGCCCCTCGGTTGCCGATGTCGACGACGGCAAGCGTCGCGACGTTGCCGGCGCCCGCGGCGCCGAGCCCTCGCAGCAAGGTGCCGGGGTCGACGAATCGGTCCCGGCTGGCTTGCGCGCTGGGTTAGCACCGCATCGGCTGGGGCAGCAGTCTGAGTGGGCGGCAACAAACTGAATTGAAGGCTGAGTTGAACCATCTTGGGCAGCCCGCAGCATGGGGCCCATCTCACGATCAGGAGCTTTCGGTCGCGCGCGAGGCACAGCATGCGCGCGAACTCCAGTGTATCGTACTTGGTCGAATGTGTAGTCCTCGAAAAAAGGAAAGACATCGTGCTGCAAAGGCGATGTCGCCGCGGCGCTGAGCAGTGCTAGCACTGACCGGCATCTGGTACTCTCCAAGAAGGCTGCGCGTCGGAGACCCTGGGCCGCCGCGGCGCGCGGCCCACAATCCGCGTGTCCTGCGGGCTAGGCCCAAGAGATGGGCGTCGACGGCTGCGCCGACGCGCCGACGCTCTGGGAGACGATCAAGGGCAGCGAGGCCTGCTGCCCGTCCGCGTCCTTCGGAGACTACCGCTGCAGGTTCGACGCGGCCCACAAGATCTGCTTCGACACGGCCCTGGAGCACGCCCAGTCGAACATCGGCGTGATCGTCGAGAACAACTGCTACTACGCGAAGCACGGCGTCGGCGCGCCCATGGCCTCCAAAAAAACGAAAACAAAATGACTACATCGTCGCAACAGACGCCGTCGTCACGGACCAATATATTTCCCGTGCGGCTCTAGACAAAGTTGAGGTCCCAACTTAATCGGCCGTCGCGAGCGCAGCTCGTAGTGCGCGAGGCCACCGCCGCGCGGCTCGGCGAGCGGCGGAGCGTCTCCGCCGGAGCCGTCGTCGGCCTCGTGTCGTAGAAGAGCTGGGGCACGTCGACGGCGACGGCGTCGAAGAAGAAGTTGAAGAAGAAGACGGACTGCACGCGTCGTCGAAGGGCTGGCTCCGCGGTACCGCGCGGTCGGGGCAGTCCAGCACGACGAGCGGATGATGTAGTCGGGCTGGAACGACGGGTTGACGCCGACGGGTATGATGTCGACGCGCGCGTCCGTGAGCGTGAGCGTGTTGAGCGCGTCCTGGACGTCCTCGGCCGGCGCGCCCCAGTCGAGGCGGGCCGCGCGCTCGGTGCCGCGCTGGAGCTCGTAGTAGGAGCCGTCGAGGTAGGCGCCGTCGAGCGCGGTGTGCACGGTCTGCTCCTCCGTCGTGGTGCCCTGGACGACGGTCTCGAGGTCGAGGCCCGTGAAGTTGTGCGGGTTCTCCTCGCAGAGGCGGCTGTCGACGGCGAGCGTCGCGACGTCGCCGGCGCGCGGCGCCCGCGGCGCGCAGCGCCAGGCCCGCGCAGCACGGTTTCCGCGGCCGACGGGGTCGGACCCGGCTAACCCGCGCACCG